AACGGGAGATGATCAAGTCAGGATGTCCACTGCAGTGCATGAGGCATGACGACCAGGGAATCAAGAATATGAAGAGGGTGCAGAGTTTGTCTAGGGACCTGGGTTTCGATTTATTAGCGTGGTTTGGAAAGGTGCTCGTGAAGGATGGAAGCAAGAGGGTTGATGTGAAAGAGTGGATGCAGGAGCTAAAGGGTGCTGTCAAGGCGAAGCTGTGAGAAGGGCATACTTTACAGTGTATGACAACATGGCATTCGGATTGGGGGGATGACTTGGCTTTTCCTAAAGGGGATCTGTTTCATGGCGCTTATGGGTGGTGAAGGTACGCATTTTCTTTTCGTGCCATAAAGGACATTCGCTAGATACCCCCACTGTTATTTACAAATACCGTAATCAGTACATCGCCACTCTTCTCCCCCACATCGTTTCACCGTCTCGTGCGCTTCCGTTGCTATGACGCTTTGACCTGGTAAGCATGTGTATCCGTACGACGATAAGTGAACTACCTAGGCTTCGGCTAGACAAACAGCATACATGACTACGCAGACATGGACTTATCGAACAACATGCATGCCGCAAGACTTGAAAAGAAGAATACTCGCTAGGATCACGTACAATCGATCCAATCGTGATCGGATGATCTGTTTAAATTCCATGTAAACTCCGTCGCGAAGTATGTTCACGATACTTTTAAGTCTTCTACACGTTTCTGCACGTGCAAAACTTCAACGGCACACCGATCTGCTCTCGTTGATAAGTAGCAAGCTAGTCATCTCTATGTGTATATGATGAGCCAAACTGTATTACTAAAGCCACTATCATCATTCCTTTGATGAGAGGCGGCGGACCAATGGCTTTTAGCGTTAGCAAGGCGATACCTCGCGCTGCATTTTGTCACGCGAAAGAATTCACGGATATCACTAACACAGACATCTGCAACGCAAAATGTGACCTCGTCCTTATTGAGTCGTTGATCAACTCGGGAAAGTCTCGTCAATTCTATCACGCCGTTGCGGGAGTCGTGTCCGTCAATCTACATCATCGTCGTTACAGGAATAGCTTAAGCTGATTCTGTGATCATCAAACCAGATAAAGAGGATAGATCAAGGCTGGCAATGCGTTCGCCGAGATGCTGAGAGGCGATCGCGAGCTGCACGTCGTTGCATTGCGCAAGTCGAAGAACAAGTACAAAGAGAAAGGGCTGACCGATATTGGACATAGGTTGTTTAATACCACACAGTTAGAGCAACCATGATGGATTGTCTGGAGGGACGAAACATGCACAATTTCTCAGCTCTCTGAGGTTAGAAAGGTTGGAAGATGCTTCTAAATTCCTGTAATGGTCCATCATGGAAAAGATGAGACAGTCAAAGTTGATTCGACACCATACCAAACGCTATGCATATCATCCCAATTCGTGTTGAATAAGAAGCCCACCCAGATGTTGTTGAACATGCCTAGTGCGCCCAAAACGCCATACCTCATATCATCATACATGATTATTTCAAGTAAAGCTTGTTGAACGCTTCACCCGATTCAGCCACCCTCTTCTTGGTCAAGTTTAGAACATGCCGTCAATCTCGCCAGTCTCAACATCGACATCGATATTCAGATATCCAGGGGCAGTAGGAAGACCGGGAATGGTCTGGATATCTGCCGCGAGTGCATACAAGTATCCTGCACCAGCCGCCATCCTGACATCCCTGATAGGAACCGTGAAGCCAGTTGGGGCACCCTTGAGGCTGGGGTCATGGCTAAGGGAGTATTGTGTCTTGGCGACGCAGATGGGTAGGTTGCCGAAGCCTTGCTTGACGTAGGTGTCAACCTTCTTCTGAGCGAGCTCGGAGAACTCAACAGCGGAAGCACCGTACATCTTCTTGGCAATGGTCTCCATGCGTTCTTGTACCGTACCACTGTTGACGTCGTAGAGAAGTTTGTAGTCGGGCTTAGGCTTTGCAGAGGCCTTGATGATTCCCTCTGCAAGATCTACAGCCCCCTTTCCACCTTCGGCGAAGTGGTTGGCTGGAATGGCGTCCTCGGCACCGGCCGCGATGGCCTCTTCGCGAATCACGTCGATCTCAGCTTGGGTATCGGTTGCGAAGCGGTTAATGGCCACAACGACGGGAACACCGTACTGCTTAGCGTTCTCAATGTGCTTCTTGAGGTTGACGCAACCAGCGCGGAGGATGTCGATGTTCTCGGTGCGGTAGACTTCGGGGAGTTGCGCACCGGGGCTGATGTCAGGGCCACCACCGTGGTTCTTAAGGGCACGGACGGTCGCGACGATGACAACGGTGTCGGGCACAAGACCGGAGGAGCGGCACTTGATGTTGAAGAAGCGCTCGCCACCCATGGTGAAGTCGAAGCCAGCCTCAGTAACAACAAATCCGGTCTGAGCGTCGTGGTCCTCGTCTGGCTCAGTACCGGCCAGCTTGAGAGCGAGCCTGTCTGCGATTACAGAAGAAGCGCCGATACTGATGTTCGCAAAGGGACCGGCGTGAACGAAGACGGGAGTGCCCTCAAGGGTTTGCATCATGTTGGGCTTGATGGCATCGACAAGCAGAGCAGTCAGGGCACCACCAGCACCGATGTCGTCGCAAGTGACAGGGTCGCCAGCGCGGGAGCTGGCAACAACCATGCTACCAAGACGCTCGCGGAGATCCGAAAGGTCCTTGCTGAGCGCTAGAATAGCCATGCACTCGCTGGCGACCGAGATGTCAAAGCCAGTCTCGCGAGTCTGACCCTTCTCTGTTGGCGCTTGACCGACTGTGATTTTGCGCAGATGCCTGTCGTTGACATCTAGCACACGTCGCCAGGTGATGGTTTCCGGGTCGATGTCAAGCCTGGCAAACTTGGAGATCTCCTCATCAGTCAAGTCATCTGGGTTCGTCTTGTCGATACCGAGCTTCTTAAGACGACGGAACATGACCGGAACAAACTCGCGCTTGCCTTTCTTGGCTGGCACTAGGCGCTTGTATAGAGCAGCGTCCTTTTGGGTGTTCTCGTGGAACATGCGCGTCTCAATAGCAGCGGCCAGCAAGTTGTTCGCTGCGGTGATGGCGTGGATGTCGCCAGTAAGGTGAAGATTGAACTGGTCCATGGGGATGACCTGGCTGTAGCCTCCACCAGCGGCACCTCCCTTGATACCGAACGTCGGTCCCATGCTGGGTTGACGCACATTGGCAAAGCATATCCTGCCCAGGTGCGCGCCCAATGCTTGCGCGACACCAATTGTGGTTGTTGACTTACCCTCGCCGAGCGGGGTAGGAGTTATACCAGCAATGAGAATGTACCTTCCATTGCGGCGGTGCTCGAGTCGCCTCAGCAGAGACAGGTCGACCTTGGCCTTTGTTGCACCATATGGCTCCAGCTCGTGCGGGAGAATACCAACCTCCTTCGCTACGGTTGTGATCTGCTTTGGGTGCTGCTTGCGTGAGATAGCATGGTCGGCGGGTATCGGATCTTCGATGCGAATGGGCAGAGGCGAAATCTTACGCTTCTTCTGCCTGTCAAAGGTCGCGTCGGCGGAGTCGACAAGGTTCTGTAGCAGCATGGCGATGGTCATAGGACCTACACCGCCGGGTACTGGGGTGATGTGCGACGCGACCTCGACAGCAGAGTCATAGTCGACGTCTCCTACGAGCCTCTGCCCGCTCTTTTTGGTGTCGTCTGGGATGAAGTTGGTGCCAACGTCAATGACGACAGCACCGGGCTTGAGCCAGTCTCCCTTGACGAATTGCGCCTTGCCAATGGCAGCGATGACGATGTCTGCCTGGCGAACGACTTCCGGTAGGTTCTTTGTCCTCGAGTGGCATACAGTGACTGTCGCGTCGGCGTTCTTCAGAAGGTAGCTGACGGGGCTTCCCACGATATCGCTGCGTCCCAGTACGACGGCATTCTTGCCCGAGATGTCGATGCCGGCCTCTTGGAGCAGTACCATGACACCCTTGGGTGTGCATGGGGTGAAGAGAGGCTTGCCGCCGCGCTTGGCCAGCTCACCGATGCTTTGAATGCCGAAGCCATCGACGTCCTTCTCGTCCGCGACGGCAGATGTGATTGTGTGTTCGGAGATGTGCTTAGGGAGGGGCAGTTGGACGAGTATACCGTGAACAGCAGGGTCATTGTTGTACTCGTAGATCTTGTACAGGAGCTCGCCTTCGGTAAGGTCTTCGGAGAGATGGACAAGCTCGCAGTCGATGTTGGCCTCTTCGGCGGCCTTGAGCTTCATGCGAACATAGGTGCTGGAGTCGGACCTGTCACCCACTGTCTGCTGTCAGCATTCCATGTCGCTGAACACGCCCCCAATGGTACGCGACTCACCTTGGACAATTTTCAGGCTTGGACGGTATCGCGGGTTCTTCTCTTGCTTCTCCTTGATCTTCTGACCCAGCCTCTCGCGGATGCTCTTGGCAATGGCAGTGCCGTCAATCTTCTGTCCAGCCATGTTGAAGCCTGTGCTGGAAAACTGCCTGGAACTATGCGCAGTCTTGACGACAGTATATAGATGGCGGGGAGAAGTCGAGCACCAATATTTTCTCGGCGGGGTAGCTGTAGCTTGCGGAAAACAACGGGCGAGAACACCAACGCGTCCGCCGCAGATCGGATACACTTTCATCGTCCTACCAATCCTGTCTGCGAATCTTTTCCAAGTCTAGTGTGTATGGCGCGACGTGATGATACGCATTTCTATGTATGTTTTCAATGACTCAGTCTGGCCCACGAGATAGCACTATGGACCCCGGGAAAAGAACAAAGTACGCCGACGCCAAACTTTCTGCTCCGCGACTCGCGTGTGCGCGTTATTACGTACCACTCAGGGTCCTCGGTCGGAATGGGGAAAACATGCAACGCGAACATGGTTCAACATACACAGTGTGGTACTACCAAACCAGCCCGCTCTTCTGGTTATCCTGCTCTCCATCTGGCTTGTCCTGAATTCTCCGTACAAACCTCTGCGGATCCGCAACTGTCGAACGGAGCCACCAAAATTCTAAGCTTGCGGATCAGGCTTTGCACGCCTCCATCAAGATTCCATACATGACAAACATCTGTTCCGCCATGAGCGTAAGACGCTCCATGTGATTTGGGTGGATGAAGCGCGCAAACCTATCCGGGTGCCATAGGTTTCGTTCCTCCTTGAGCCATTCATACGAATATTTACCGGAAGCTTGCAGCAATGCTCGCAGATCGTGGGTGCAGATGCCCAATTTCGAGACATCTTCCTTGAGCAGCTGACAGTCCCGTTCCGTGCACTCGTCGACGTAGCTTGTCATCGCTAGGAAACTCTGTAGGTGCCCGGGTTTGAGCAACTCCCGTATATCTTCCACGAACTGATCGTATGCTGCCTTGGAGTCTTTGTGCACTGCACCATCACCAAAGACAAGCCAAGAGCCGTGTACAAACCCCTTGACGTCTTTCTTATCGGTGACCATAAACCAGTTGCGACCCATGTCGCGGATGACCTTCACTTTTTCACCTTTTCTTAACACTAGCTCCCATGAATCCGCCCTATGCGGCCGACCAGACTTCTTGGTAGTCGCCCACTGGAAGGGAATGCCATCCTCGGTCTTTCTTGGTACATGTCGTATTTGCTGGTCAGAAACATGCGGTTCGTAGCGGGCGAGCGGGCGAGAACATGAGTTCCGAGAAGAGTTGGTGTCAGAGACAGTGCCAGGAGGCGAACTGCTTAGCGTATGCTGGCCAGAGCTGTTATCACCATCAAAGTTGGTGTGAATTGGCTCTCCCTCAAAATGGACAATATACGGCGTGTCCAAGCCGGCAGAGTGCTTCTTGATGAATGCGAAGGTCTCGCCCTTCTTGGTATGCGGGCTAATCAGGACGTACTAGAAAATGTCAGCCGCAATGGACGATAACATGCGCGGACACTCACAGCGAGCTCTTTGTTGATCCTAATCATTCGCTCATCTTGTCTCGCGCCTTTCCACAGCTTGTTCCATTCGAAAGAGACCAGGTTTGCCTGGAAATTCCATAGATGACGGTCGCCGCTCTTGATGTAGTACGACCCATTAGCGTGCCACTGGATATTATCCAGAGTACGAGAGTCCCTCAACGAACCATTGGTGATATGGTTGCTCTTACGGGATCCGGAACTGCCTTCGCGTAACTTGGCCTCGAGTTGCGCCGGAACATCTGCGCATGCCCAAGCTGTGCCTGACCATACGACGAAAGAGTCGGCGGCACCAAGTTGTACTCGAATACCAGAACGAAGAGTCTCGGAAGCTTCTACTGCTTGGATGTAGGACCGTAATGCTGGCGGAATCTCGGGTCCAATCATGAAAGCCGATGTGCTGTCTCTGCACTCCCACGCGAAAAACCACGACCCGGGTTTGCTGCCGTACGAAGCCCATGTAATTCTCTTGATATAACCTGCGCATACTTTTCTGAGTAAGTTGTTTGGTAGACACGTGCTGCATGTAGCGGTCAGCTGGATGTTAAGTTAGGGCGATCGTGTTTATCCTACGAGATGTAACCGTTCGGTGTGGCGATAAACTGATCGCTGCCTCGACTCAAGGCTACTATATACTCGTTGGGTGCCAGGGGCTCGAGCCTGTCTAGCATAGCTGCTATGATAACAGTATCGGGCGATGTGGAGGACATATCGAACGTGGGAATTGCGCGCGGCTGCCTGCCCACGACAAGGAGAAATCAAGGATCCGATGTTGGACTTTTCCGGAAGCTGCGCCCGAGTGTTGTGTGCTTACCAATGGCGAAGTGGGAAGCAAGAGCGTGTTTGCGCCAAGATAGCGCTCACACTCAAGGGCAGGTGCAATTCCTGCATCACCGGTGGAGATGAAAGCGATGAAACGTCGGAACTCCAAACAAAGCGAGAATAGCAAATTCGAAAGCACACTGTATGCCTGGATTATCAACAGCGCCCGTAGCTGGCGTTTGTACCGAGCATGTGATCAAGCTTGGATTTAGAAAGATGGAAGCTTGGTGGCAGTGAAGCGTGGAAAGACGCACCCTCCGTCTCCATGCTGTATACATCTTCGACACAGTAAAAGAAAGGCATACGTCAAGACGTCAGCTTGTAATGAATTACAAGCACAGAAGTGAGGTCCAAAGAAAGAGGGCTGTGTTGACTCAGAGGTAGACTATCAAGAAGAGAGGACGAATCACCCGAGCTGGACTTACTATCTGAATCATCTGTGAATGGCTTCAAATAATCAACGTACGAATAGATTGGTCTATGAGTCACAACAAGTTGCGTCGTTCGCGAGTACGTAAACACATGCTGATGTACGACCAAATGGGGGTGAGGTGAGCCGTCGTGACTCACATTGACAAGCATCGCTGAGTTTAACACGATTTAGACCAGTAGCCTCAGCTCAGTACCCGTAGTCTGTGGACTCTTCGTGTTGAGGATCTGGGCCAAGACAGAGGAATGAGGTTTATAGGAATGGCGGTTGATCCATGGATGCGGGACAAAGCACGCTAGTCGGTTAGCGCCAAGCAGCCCACTTCGCCCGCTGAACGTCGATATGCACAAGAGTCACCCGAATTTCGAGACGCCGCCCGCCACATATAAGCCGTCACACCACCCTACCTCCACATACACATCGCAATCATGAGGCCCATTCTTCTCTCGGGACACGAGCGTGCGCTCACGCAAGTCAAGGTACGCATGCGCAAGGCGTAGCGGAATGGGAGGGAGAAAACTGACAATAGACAGTACAATGCTGATGGAGACATCATTTTCTCCGTATCGAAGGTACGGGCTTCTCCCAGTCTTCTGATATGTGGAAGCTGATTTTTGTAGGACCACGTCGTTTGCGCATGGTACTCACACAACGGCGAGCGGATAGGCACATACCACGGACATCAGGGAGCGCTATGGACCGTCGACGTGAACCCATCTTCCGAGCTGCTAGCCACCGGTGGCGCAGACAACACCATGAGGCTATGGCATGTGCAGACCGGCAAGCTTCTCCACACTTGGGAATTCAACACCAGTATCAAGCGCTGCGAATTCTCTCCAGACGGCAGGCAGCTACTCGGTGTCACTGAGAAGCGCTCAGGACATCTTTCGACCATCTGCGTCTACCCCATCAACCCCGACCCAGAAGCGCAACAATCGGATGAGCAGCTGCTCAGGATCGTATGCGACGAGTCCAAGGCGACGGTTGCTGGTTTCTCGTATCTCGCGAAATACATCATCAGTGGACACGAGGACGGCTCGATAACTCAGTGGGATGGCAAGACTGGAGAGCTGCTCAGCTCTAACTACGATGTTCATGAGCCAGACATGCAGATCAGTGAGTGCCTCGAACAAAACCCAGGTTATAGCAGAACTAACAAAATGAAGCCGATATTCAGTGGGCTCCCGACCGAACATATTTCATAACTGCCAGCAAGGACAAGACCGCAAAGCTTGTTGACGTCGAAGAGCTCAACGTGCTCAAGTCATACGTTGCCGACACGCCCCTCAACTCCGCGGCGATCACTCCGGTAAAGGACTATGTTATTCTTGGTGGAGGACAAGCAGCTATGGACGTCACAACCACATCTGCGCGCCAAGGAAAGTTCGAGGCCCGCTTCTACCACAAGATCTTCATGGAGGAAATTGGTCGTGTGCGTGGTCACTTTGGTCCCCTCAACTATGTCGCCGTACACCCACAAGGTACCAGCTACTGCAGTGGAGGAGAGGACGGTTACGTGCGCGTGCACCACTTCGACAAGCCATACTTTGACTTCATGTACGAGGTCGAGCGGGAGGTCGCGCAGCAGTCGAACTTGTAATGATATGACCTCATGAAGAATGGTTGATATGGTTCGATTTGGCTGTATGCATGCAATGGCGTTCCGGCGGTCGGGTTGGGTGCTTGTCGAAATTAGACGAGCCTTTGTCAAAAGTTCATGAGCGAGCAGGGCACATATAGACACTTTATCTCAGCGTCCGAGCACCATGTACCTCAACAATGAAAACTTCACTAGCAAGCTTGTGAGCGCATGTTCAAGATGGTTTATATATGTCCCGCCCCAAGCACCAGCGCCTGTCCACGAATGGAGCAGACACCCAAGCATTAGGTCAATAGTACAAGCAAAGGGCTTGAAACGGGTTTGTGGCTGATCTTCCTGCTTTTGACAAACGAGTCCATCATCGAGAAGGAAGGACGACGTATACTGAAGAGGTTTTTGCTATAAATAAGCGCAAAGGGAGAACGCAGCGCGCTGATCGCGTTGTCGCGTGCTTGATCGAGCGCAATGTAAGACGCAGACATGGATATTTTCCTCAACTGGTTGTCAGATCCAGACATGATGGATCGCTCCAGTATGTTAAAGCCGGCTTCCATGAGCTATGAGGCACGATGAGTAAGCCCGTAACAGCGGTCATCGCGAAGGTTGAGGGCTGGGTGAAGTGAAAGAAGGGCGGAAGAAGGGCTGCAGCCTCAGCGAACGTGGAAGCTTCGAGAGACCCTGCCCTAAGCGAGCTTAGCGCGCGTGGCGGTGACCTCACCTGTCGCTCCGACTCATCGCGGCCTTGCATCGCTCTTTGGGCCTCTACATAAGCAAAAGCTCAATCTTCTTTACTCCATTGCTCTTCTCATTCAAACCACCTTCCATCACACATACATTCGCCGATTGACAAATTCGTTGACGAACAAACACCGACTTCACAAGCACAACACCCCACGTCTGCGCCCAACTCAGCCTTCCGCACACAATAACCACAACTTCATCCCCTCATCCTTCAATACCACATTCAATATGTCTGACGACTGGAACTCTGTTACCAAGATCGGCAGCCGCACTCGCGGTGGTGCCGCTGGACCTCGCGAAACCGTAGTCAAGGGCAAGTCAGCTTTGAACGCGGCCCAACGCAGCGGCGGCATCGTCGCCACAGAGAAGAAGTTCGCTTCTGCCAACGCCGTGAGTACTCCTGACACGTCTACTTAGCCTAAACCACTTTGTTCTTCGTGATTCCCCACCAGTTCACTCAAAACAATGCTAACGAACCAGCCACAGGGAGCTTCATCAGAAGGCCAACGCCTCACCAAAGTCGACCGTTCCGACGACATCGTCAAGCCCAAGACCGTTGGCACCGTTGTTGGCCAGGCCATCTCCAAGGCACGCTCCGAGGCGAAGAACGACAAGGGCACTACCATGACGCAGAAGGATTTGGCTACCAAGTGCAACAGCACACCCACAATCATTGCGGACTTTGAGCGCGGTACTGCGGCACCAGACCAGAAGCTCCTAGGAAACATGGAGCGCGTGCTCAACGTCATCCTACGGGGTGACAAGATTGGGCAGCCTAAATTCCCCAAGAAGAAATGAGCGAATTATTGCCAAGGTCACATGCTAGCCGCAGATATACGGTCAGGCTCTGACGTTGCAATCTTTTGCGCTTCAAAAGTCAGCTTTGGCTGCAACAAATCTCTTCTGGATTAGCGGGCTTGGGATGGGCGTTTGGTGGACATCACGGCAGAATACCACAATGGTGAACAGCGTGCGATAGCTACGGCTTAGCCTTTATCGCGCGCCTTTGCAGCTTAGTCTCATTGAGCAGCTGTGTAGGCTAGATAAAATCAACGATTCACGAGCAAATATTGCAGCTGTGTACAAACTATTCCCTTGACGTCATCGATGCCATCTGGCATACAGTGCCTCGTTCGATCTCGGTTTACCTTTCGTACGAGCAAGCGAATCCTGGTTTCTTTAATATAGCGCTGAGCAGATTTGGAAGCAACAACATGCTTGTCCGTGTCGCGCCTTGATTTCGTGATTGGCTCTTGCACGCTAGCGACTCGCCGTCAGCCCGCATTCACAACGCATCCTCTCTGCAAACCACACCAACCATGATATCCTAACTTCTTCCTATACTATGATTGTGCCCTCCTATCAATCCAAAACAAGAAGCTTTGGTTTCGGCATTCCTATGTAAATCATGCCCTCAATTCCAGTCCTACTACCCAGGCGCTTTTCCATATTCATCCTCCACCCAGTGTATTTGCGCTAATGTTCTGCCAGACCCATCCTTTTCGTCTCTACCGTAATCGTGTTCTTGCTTTACTTCAGCATGAGCACTTCTAATCACTCGTCCCTGGTGCCTTCTCCGGCTGAACCGGAACTGGATTACCACTTCAAGTATACCGTGCAAAAGGGCTTCTTCGCTCAGAGTGAGGACGAAACTGATGACACGACTTTTGATTTTGTATGTTCGTGCCTTCTTCCTCCATGTCTTGACACATTTCATAACATCTCCAAACGCCATTCCGTCTTGGCTTGCAAGGTGGCTGACTAACGCGTCCAATAGAAGGCACAAAATTTTGGATTAATCAATCGTTCTTATCCTGGAGAGACCGACAGCGAAGACCGACAATGGAGGCGCTTTGAGACATGTGTGGCTAGTCTGGAGGCAGCGAAGAAAGAGGGAGAAAAGTACAAAGTCCTCTTTCTGGGTCGTCATGGTCAAGGATGGCACAATGTCGCAGAGGCAAAGTACGGAACGAAAGCTTGGGATGTAGGTTTATTCCTTTATCACTTGTTACATTCCATCTCACCTCCTCTCAAACTCCTTCCAAATCGGGCAATCTGTTGAAAGGCGTAGATCACGGCTTCACTCCTACTCTCCCACCCATGTTGTTTTTCACTCTTTTGCTGTACCGTTCTCTCGCTCTCACTTGCGTTTTGTAAAAGTCGCTGTTGAAGAGCTATGTTGCTGACATGAATAAAGTGTTACTACGCGGCCCTCGACGGCTACGACGGCATAACCTGGGCAGATGCCAACCTCACCTCTACAGGTCAAGAACAAGCTCTTGCTGTAAACAAGCTATGGGCTGAACAACTTCCCCTTGGGATCCCATCTCCACAGACTTATTACGTTTCCCCCTTGACCCGTACGATCGAAACAGCAAACCTGACGTTTGGAGGCCTCCCTCTCCCGCCATCTCAGCCTTACGCGCCCTACATAAAGGAACTCGTTCGTGAGGCCCTTGGCGTACACACCTGTGATCGCCGCAGTACAGCAACTCACCTCAAAAACACCTTCACCGACCCGAAATTGACGTTCGAACCTGGTTTCTCGGACGAAGATCCTCTTTGGGAAGCTGAGTACCGTGAACCGCGGGCCGCAAGACGATACCGACTGGCCACATTCCTGGACGACGTCTTCGCTTCGGACAACAACGTGTGGTTGAGTGTAACCAGCCATTCTGGAGCAATTAGAAGTATGCTCGAGGTATTTGGTCACAGGATGTTTGCGCTGGAGACCGGAGGTGTGATACCCGTTTTTGTCAAGGCGGAGAAAGTGCAAGGAAAGAGACAGGCTCCGCCCAAGGAACCTAGCGACGCTCCGCCACTGTGTGATGGGCCACCCAAATGAGGACAAGGAAGCAAAAAAGGCATATATTGAGAGCGGAAATTTGCCATCTCACTTATCCGGCAGGATATAGTTGGAATACGAACCGTCATTACCCCTCTGTGCATTTTCTTCTCACTGTTCTTTAGCAACCCAGCATCAAGATCGAGAAGGTAGAGAACAGGAAGTTTGTTTAACGTTCATTATTATTCATAGCTATTTAATAGGCTTCAAGAAGGCAACACCACCACTCTTGTCGCTGTTTAAGCCCTCTTACCAAAGACCTTGTCGAAGCCAGTAAGTGTGAGCCTGTACTTGACGTTGTCGTTCTTGTAGACACGCTCGACTGCCTCTTTGCAGCCTTCCTCGCTAAGCTGGATTTCTTGTACCCAGGACTTGATGTTCTGCTTGGACGCGAGCTCGAACATCTCCTCCATCTCAGGCCTGTTACCAATGTGAGAAGCACCCATGTAGCAGCCGTTAGGTGCGAAGACCTGGGCGGGCATGGCGGGGAGCGGGTTGTCAGGGAAGCCGACCATGTGGAAGGTTCCGTTGACCTTGAGGATGGAGAAGTATTCTGAGAGGTCGAACTTGTCGGTTGCATCGGCGGTGTTGATGACGAAGTCGAACTGGAACTTCCAGGGCTCAGCCCAACCCTTCTCCTTGGTGACGATGAAGTCTTTGGCACCCATCTTCAACGCATCCTCCTTCTTGTTGGGAGAGTGCGAGATGACATAGGTGTCAGCGCCCATAGCTACTGACCAGAGGACACCGAAGTGACCGAGACCTCCCAATCCGATGATACCGACCTTCTTGCCGGGGCCAGCCCCTAACCTCTTCAAGGGCGAGTATGTGGTAAGACCAGCGCACAGCATGGGCGCGGCGAGGGCAGTGTCGAGGTTGTCCGGGATCTTGAAGACAAAGTATTCGTGGCCACGGATATGGCTAGAGTATCCACCCTGTGCGACTGTGCCGTCGGTGTGCTTGGCACCGTATGTGTCGACTTGGTTGGGGCAGTAGTTCTCCTGGTCGTTCTTGCATTGGTCGCAGGTGAGATCGGCACCGATCTGAGCACCAATACCGGCGCGGTCTCCGACCTTGACGCGAGTGACCTTGTCACCAACCTTGACGACCTTGCCGATAACCTCGTGTCCTACGCAAAGAGGAAGAGGAAGCTCCTCTCCCCATCCTCCAGTGATGGTGTGGACATCTGAAGCGCAGACACCGCAGGCGTCAATGGCAATGTCGACGTCGTACTCCTCAAACTTCTTGAGAGGGAGCTGTAGGATTGTTAGAACAGCAATGGGCTAGTCAATTGGCTTGTTTACTGACCTCCTGACGCTTGAACGTGCTCCAGTTCTTGATGTCAGTCACCGCGAAGGCGTCGGTAGTCTCTGGGTAAGGCATTTTTGTGTGTGGTTGTGTTTTGAGGTATGTGATTTGGTGTTGGGGAATTATGAGAGACAATGGAGGGGTAGGTGTTGAGGGGCATGCACACGTATTTCAAGCATCGGTCAATCTCCTGCCAGCTGGTAGAGTCGGCCCATCGCATTTCGCGCAGTGAGGTCATAACAGTGGACGGGAACTAGAAGGTCCCCGCCATTGAGGCTCCTGGCGCTCCCTGATTGGGCAGACACCCAGCCACGAGCGCGTTGTCTGTTGAGGCGCGCAGCTGTACCTTTTTCTAACCGTCACAGACGCGTCAATGATCGTGTTTTTAACCGTTGCATCGGCGTTCTGCCAACGGTGTCGAGGGCTAGGCCCTGGACCATGCCATGTCGCAGTCCCTAGCTCACACTATACGTTCGGTCTTTCCGATCGTGCCGAATCGTAGTGGGGTTCGTCATCGCATGTAGATAGCTTCAGCGGTATTTGTCGTCGACAATTCTCTTGTAAGAATGTCGTAGGTAGACACCGGCGAATCAGTCCAGAGAAACGATGACAGATTGTCTTTCCGAGCTCGTTTCGATCGGGCAAGGTGCGACAGTAGCTGATCCGAGTGCCGAGTTGCCGACGTCATCTTCAAGACCTTCATTACATCCCCAGCCTCTTTCACCAACGTACAAAACTTGCAGTCTCGTTTGTCTTCTTTCCTTTTTCTTTCTCTCTGAAAATGATTTGATGGTAGCGCTGACCAACGTTGATGGAAGATGGGTCGGACAATCTGCGAGTACGAAAGAGGCTAGATAAAGCATTAACGAAGCGTGCAAAATGCATAATGGCACGCGGTTGTCGTACATTAGCATGCGCACAAGTCGATGTGATGTACATCTGCTTTTCCAAAACTCACTCTTCCATGGTAGAACCTCCTGCGCTTTGAAGCCTCCGCCCAAATCCCTTCTTATCCGGTACCCCGCATTTGTCGATGCGGGGTGATTGGCTAGAGGCTTACCCGTTTGGGCATTCCGTGATCGAGACGAGCACGCGTGAAGAGGCGCTTTGCCAGTAGAAGGTGAGCGGAAGGTGATAGACTGACGGAATCCGGGAGAATGAGCGCGAGGTCAGTTTGCCAACCATGGCATGAGCGATACCGCCGCGCCACGTTCTACTATTTCTCCGCCTCTTCAGCCTCTCTTCCATCGTCCCAGGGTCACACTGAGCTTGACTCCTCTGATAATACCGCACAAATTGAAGCACAATGGCCTCTCCAGCGGCTGAAGGTACTATGAACGCGCTTCGATTCCACGGTCAGAACGACTTGCGATACGAGAAAATTCCGATACCACAAGTCAAAGCAGGACAAGTCAAAGTAAAACCAGCATGGGTAGGAATTTGCGGATCAGGTATGAACCCAGATGTGAAGGTCGAAGCACTGAGACTGACGTTAACTTATACCTCCACGAATACTTGGGTATGTACATGAATGACGAGCATGCGATCCATAACTGAGTACCTAGGTGGCGCGAATCTCTGCCCTACTACGCCCCATCCAATCACCGGTGAAACGGTTCCACTTACCTTCGGGCATGAGTTCAGCGGTACAGTGGAAGAGGTTGGCGATGGTGTGACTGACTACAAGCCCGGAGACAGGGTCGTCATCCAGCCTATCATCTACGATGACACTTGCGGCGCATGCGAGGAAGGTCTGCAGAACTGCTGTTGGTCTAATGGCTTTATTGGCCTGTCGGGTTGGGGCGGTGGTCTTGCAGACCACATTGTTGTCCCAACTTCTACCCTTTATCATCTCCCCGATAACGTACCACTTGAGATTGGCGCCCTCGTCGAGCCTCTCGCTGTTGGCTGGCATGCTGTCAAGATCAGTCCATTCAAAAAAGGCGAGGTTGCATTAGTCTTAGGCGGTGGACCTATCGGTATCTCGACGATACTAGCACTGAAGGCGAACGGGTGCGATAGGATCATTGTTTCTGAAGTAAGCAGAAAGAGGCAAGAGTTCGCAAGGAAGTTCGGAGCGCACTACATCATCGACCCAACCAAAGAAGACCTTGCAAAACGCTGTCGCGAACTCACTGGAGGCAAAGGTGTGCACGTAGTCTACGATTGTGCTGGTGTCCAGGCGGCTCTCAATCAAGCTGTCCACGCTACCCGTGCCCGGGGTTGTATTGTAAACATCGCCATATGGGAAAAGCCTTGCACTATCTTCACCAACGACTTCAACTTCAAGGAGCGGACATACATGGGTATCGCAACTTATGAGATTGGTGACTTTCAGGAAGTCATAGACGCGCTGAGTAGAGGGGCCATGGATCCGAAAGAGATGATCACACGGAGAATTGGCTTGACCGAGGTCGAAGAGAAGGGCTTCAAGAGTTTGATTAATGACAAGGACAACCAGGTCAAGATCTTGGTAGAGGTCGGTGGAGGTTCGTAGTGGTAACCATTACTACAGGTCCTCATATCATGTGATAGCCACCGCACTGTTGGAGGACTGGCCGGTACTATCTGCCTAGGGCATCGAATTAATCATGACAAACCCTTCTTCCTCATCAATCTTCTTGTCCTTGATTACGTCTATCGGCACTTCCTGGATCCGCGCAAGCCATCGTAAACACGATACATCAGCCGACATGTGAACAAGATTAATATCTCGCATGTAACATTTTCGATAAAGCTGGCACGCGCGTGTTACGTGTTGAACTAACAGCAAGCAGCACCACTCTATCTAGGAAGCAAAAATCATAGCAGTAGAGAACGTCGTCCTGTCACCACCGTTGCCGTTGCCAGCTATGTCTATCGAAGATACCCGCCGCACTCAGCGGTGTCGAAAACGGATCCTTGTTTAACAGGTGATCATGTACGAGTTCTTAGGACTAAAATCGTCACACACACCAACCTTCTGGTGCACATCTGGGGTCTCGCCCTCAGAGCAGTCAGAAGAAGTAAAAAGGTTGACTGCCAACAGCACATTAGCTTGTTATACTCCCGTGTAAAATGAGGTGCAAGATTGAACCCTACCTTTGCAGCTGGGGTTTGCGGCGGCGGTAATGACCAGACTCTTGTTGCCGTCGAAGATCCTGATGCACCTATTGGCGGGGAGGTTTTCGAGTCGTTCAATCAAGCATCCGGATGCAGTACTGCAAGCAGAGCATGTTGATATCGTAAACGACAGGGTATCTGCGGCAGTGCTAGATGCAATGAATGCTGAGATGATCGCGAGAGCAGTAGTAGAGAACTGCATGTTGGAGAAGCTGGATGGCGTAGAAAGTCCGGTGTTGTTGAAATAAGAGAGGTGGTTACGAGAGATGTGTCTATCCCGGATGCAATGTTGTCGAATCTTATATGGGAAACTTCCGTCGAAGACAGGACCCTCGCAGATTTTCCAACTCATATCGTCTTACTGGTATTACTGGACTGTGACCACGCTGACGTCTGCGATCAATGCGGCTCGTGAACAAGGAACGCGTAAGCACACCCTGTTTGACCGTGATACCCCTTAAGCGACCCGTGCCAACATCAAGAAAGAAGTTGGTGATTATTTGCGCTATGCAAGTATTGGTCACAAGGTAGGCCGGGCTAGTCAATGTTACATGGGCGTAATTACAGTAAGCACAAATGAGCAGCAATCCACTGATCCAGATTTTGATTCGCATTCTAGGCATACAACAAACAATCTTCGTTATGATTAGCTTCAAACATTCGACTTCGCTCCTGTGTTAGTTCCACAGCCCAACTTGTGAAGGAGGGAATGTCCACTGTACCCAGGAACAGTGTAATAAGGGATGTGACGCAAAGAAAACCAAAAGCACTACCATAAGCACTTGGACAACGACTGGAACTAAAGATACTCGGATGATGAGTTGTTTTCTGACCAACTGATATCTTATAAGGTCGATTAGAGCAAATTATGTGTATAATACCATGTCAAAAGATCCACTGTGGGCTACAGTATATGGGAAACCTCGATTCATAATTTACATAACTCTGGAGACTACAAGCTGACTACTAGTGAGACACTGACAGTCATCATGAAGGTTTTGCAGAAAATTATGCAGAGCCTGGTGCGACTTGGAAGGTATAAGGGTTATCTCCGTCACGATCCGAGACAAAAGTTAGAAAGCGTCCTCTGTCTTGGCCAAGTAGGCCAAAAGAGGTTTTACAAAATTCATCCCTCTCATTCATTGAACGAACAACGAGCGGTGCTTTGAGGTACTACCGTGAATGGTATCACACGGTGTCAAGAGAGAAGACTTCGATTTACTATGGACTACAACGACCAAGAGCAAGTAAGTTTAGCTTAGAATTTGCGTAACTCGAGTCAAGCAATACGCCTTTGAGGTAGGCAAGTAGATATTGAAGGTTGATTGCGAGGTGTTGTCCGGGTGCGAGGCTAGAAACGGGGCCGATGCAGACTAGCCTGACCGGGTCTGGATAAAAGGGAGGATACTAAGACCATATGTTGCAAGTGTGTCCTCATTTCTCCACTAATAATGCGGGTCTCGTGCGGTCTTCGAACACTAAGGACATTACAGAGAGCAACACCTTTTACTGATACAACTCAAGACATCATCTAATTGGACTCATGAATTAGCACATTCTTTGATCACGGACATCTTTGATATAGCAAAATCTGATAGAGCGAATGCGAAGAGGTTCCACCCGGGTTATGTGTTGAACTAACAACGAATAGAGTCATCCCGCCAAATTCTGAAAATCGATGTGTAAATGCAGTAACGACTGTTTTCCAAAGGTCTCATCCATTTGCCGTTGCCAGAACCATCTATCTTCTGTCCAAATATCTCCTTGTATGTTGGCAAACCCCATCATGACCCCTTAGGAGCAGATGACTTTGTACGCAGCGCGAGCGCCGAACACGATAGGTCTGCAAACATTCGAGACCACAAAGCCGCATGTTTGATCACCGTGACCCTCGCACTTGGAGTTGCCGTAAATGAAAACTACAACGATGGTCAGCTGTGACGTCGTGGTACGATAGGAATACCATGTCATTTGTGATGGAAAGAACCACCTCATGTTGTTATTGATGCCTTCCACATCCACTAGCGTACTACCTGTATAGCCAGCATCATCCGTAGAATCGATCCATCACTCTTATATCCCATCAATTTGGAAAGTATTCGAAGGCGGGTGATCACTTACGCGTGCATCCGGGTTTGGCGAAGTCCACGACAAGACTGCCTTGGTTGGTCAAGGGGGGGAGGGGGGTTGTGATGCAAATGTCGCTTTGCCTGATCTGGTGGTCGGTTCTAGCACAAGGGCCATTGACCGTATCAGCTGGAGACGCGCAATTGTTGCAAGCCCAGGTGGTAAAGGATAGTGGCTTTTCAACAGTAAGCGCACCAATTGTAAGGGCGAGGCTAGACAAGAGGGTAGAAGTGAGCTGCATTTGGGAATTGATTCGAGACTGTGCTAGAACTGCTGATTGTTGGGTTGTGCTGGAAAGAGTTATGTGAAGCCGTGCTCCTCCAAAGTGGGTTCCTGGGCAACTTCATACAAATCGGCATTGCTCATGCTAGCACATTACGATGGGTTCGATTCAACTCTTCTTACTACAACGGATGGTGGTTACGAACAGCTACCAACACTTCTGGGTTCACGACCGGTGAGCATGGGTACGAGCTCACGTCCCGTGAAAACGTTCATACTTCTTCAGTAAACCTTGAATGGAAGGCTTGGGTCTGGAGGCCTTCTCGAGGCATCAGTGTTCCCGAAAGGTTCAGCCCGCACACATGATGGCCGTACGGGCGTTGACGCAGTAAGCGCTTTCGATCGACACTTACGGCAAGCCCCACATTTAACCCATAGAACCACACAAGGAATTCCCCATTATGCGAGACCATTTGCCTCAGAGTCTTCTTCGAGACCAATGAATCCATTGGTTTGGCTATAGTATGAGAGGATATTGTGATGCATGCAGATGCCGACGTTACTAGGTATCTTGGGGTGTCGTGACCAACACATATGGCCACTTGAATGAACCCAGCAATGTTGGAGCTGATCGTATCGGTGAGTTGTAGAAAATTATGATCTGTGCGTAACTAGAAGACTTCCCGTAGGTCTCGGTGGAGGACTCGTTAGAATTCGTGAAGACCATCGCTCGCAAAAGTTGTTGAGTGCCGGGACATTCAAGGGAACCGAAGCTCTGAACAGATGATTGCAGAAGTACGAAAGGGCATGTTCCACCGCATGCTCGATCATTAAGCCGCAACACTTCCAATGTTGCACCTACTTAGGAGTTTTCATGTGCTCAGATAGCTTTCACAAGACGGGCGAAGATGACAAGGCGAGTGAAAAATCCAAGAGTCCGGTTTTCATCATGTGTTGAACTGACGATATCTCATGTCCGATTTCTCTTGGCTAATCGAGTAACATAAGGAGCTAGTCAATGGAGAATTTTCGCACTGTACGCCAAGCTACAACATCCTTCTCGCCGCTCCTCACACTATGTCTCTGGCAAATAATCTTATAGCCTCTCTTGAACACTGGCACTGCGTCACAAGTTGGTGGGTCGCCAAACGTGTATGGTACCCTAACCTCTTCGGAGCAATCTACGAAGTTGCAAAGTTGTACTGCGTGTCTTCTCAACCACATGGACTAGCTACCGCGGTGACTTGGAGACTCGCTTGTCCTTGCTCAAGTGAAAAACACGCTTCTGACACGACATTGTCGTGTGGCCACGAGAGACAGGGGTTGTTGACTGCGCAGTCAAAGCACGGCCATGATGTGAAAGATCCTGCATCTGAAATGGGATCGCGGCGGGTGAGACTGACGGGGGATACGAGAGTGGTTGCTACCAATTCCAATACAACAAGTAATAGCCGCATGGTTGAACCGGATGCTAAGTAAGAGTAAGATTGACAATGGTACAAGCACAACGGGATGACGGAGAGAAGGGATTTGGCGGTGGTTTATATTCTTTGGCTTTTCGGTACCAAAAGGTACAGTGCCAGGCATCAAGTCGTTAGTTCAGAAGATTCCTTGGTAACTCCAAGACACCTGTAGGTATCTTGACTGAAACCAATGCCTGCCTTCAAACATTATGATTACGTCTTCTCACCTAATCCTTGGGTGGTAGCAGATGTAGCTTGGCCACGGCCTCATGACACATCGAAACAACCCGTGGGTCTCATCAAGGTAAGCGCTTGCTAGATATAGCAAACAGGGAGCGTAAGAACAGATTTCTGTGGTCATGTTGTCCACTCCAGGAAATTTCAAGAACGCTATACGGTCGTCGCTGTGAGTAAAGGTAAGTCGTGAGCAACATATGCGGCAGTTTGGTGTCTGACAAGAAGATGCTTTGGGTTTCGCAAAGTAGATCTATACGTGTCACGTAAGTTCAAACGTCATCACAGCGAGAATAATATCGCTTCTTGAGCCAAGAACATCCATAAAGGTGATCCAATGAATTCCAATACAGTCTAGTCCACACCATATGTTGGATACAGCAGATAGACTAAACTGAATCTAGTATATAAGAAGTGAAAGAGTGTTGTAAAGACCGTCATCCGGATTTGTCCTCCCATTCATGCACGCTGTTGCCAGCTAATTCTTGTCTAATCTTGATTCGTCGTTCTTTTTTCTCTCTGAAATGACTTTTCGGAGTTCGCGAAGAGCTTGTGATCTGCTTAAGAGCAGATGGCCTTGTACGAGAACTTTGTCGACACATCAATACAACCGCTGGGGACGGTGGTAATGGTATCAGTCGGTGTACCACTGCAGTCGCCGGCGGTGTAAAACTCAACTTCAGTGATCAGATTCATTAGCAGTGATTACAATAACGATCTTGGTTCTCGCAGGAGTGCTTACGGCGGCAGTTGGCACGTGTCTTCTCCAGGTAGTAGATGCGGGCGCTCAGCTGGGGCAGGAACGTGCATGTGTTGCTGTTGATGTTCTGGACCTGGTTGGCTGGAGGCGCACAGTCGGCGTTGGCGTAGGTCTCGACTAGGGAGTAGATATTAGTGGACATGTACTCTGCTTTGGCCTCAAGGAAGCATACATGAAGCTACGTTCTCAAGCTGAATTTGAGCAACGGCAACTGAGGCCATGATGGCGGCAACGATAGTGGAAGTGAACTGCATCTTGTAGATTGGAGTTGGGAAGTTGGTTTGATGGGATAAAATATATTGAAGATAGCGATGTGGTAGAAGCTGTTGTCTTGGTTGTTCCTACAATCCCGTCCTTCTTTGGGGTCTTTATACCCTCATTCTCTAGTGTCCCCAGCCTTTGCCGCTGTCTCCTCGCATTCGAAGCTCTTGACAAAGCTTATCGTGGCTTGTCGAAGTGTAGAGAATACGAAGCTGTCTCATCATCATGTCTGATGGGCTTGATCTTTGAGTGGCTGGACTCAACCAGAATATGCCTCGTCGTGCGATGACATCCGAAAAGGTGGAGTTTGATGATTGTATAAGGAAGTTTGCTCGCGCGCCTGACGCCGTGGCTTTGAAGTTATAAGCAGGCTGTCCATTGGCGCAATTGCTGAGCGTGGCAACGTGGCTGACAACAGAAACACAGCGACCTTCGGGCCGCAACTGCAGAGTCCGGCCCGCAAGGAAGTCCTTCTCTCCAAAAAATGGATGCATTAGCGGACCGTGGCTGACCGGGGTCATTCGTGCGATAAGGGCCTGTGTTTTGGGAAAACCACTATATACGTCATCTCGGTATTAGAGTGAGCATTGCGTGTAAAACTTCGTTCGTCATCTGCTCGTTTTCTTTGGTGAATCTGTGAGATTGTGACCTCGTGGGCGTGGCTAAAAGCTCTCGACGTCAACACGTGATGTGTAGTGTTCCTTTACACCACGCGCATGTGCGAACTGCAATGCAATGTAGCCGGTGAGAAAACGTGCACGGATAATACACTGTGTTGGTGCGGAAATGACACGAGCATATGCACCAATGAGACGGAAGGACCCGGCTGACATGATTGGCCAAAAGGCTTGTGCAAACGACTGTTGGATTGATATCCTGGAGCAAGAAAGCATAAGCAACAGCGCATGCTCCATCTCGGCATAGATCCAGCTTTGAGGCCACCGGCTCAAAGTCTATATCGGAAAATCCTGTGAGATCACAAAGTCCTCCCCTGCGCCATAGCAATCCTCTGCTGTATCCTGGTCGTGTCTTTCGTAACTTTTCAATGGTACGTGTGTATCATCATCGTCTATAGCACAAAACAAAATCGCGTATGTACTTATAGCGGCATAAGCATGCGCTAATACCCTTGAGCGGCTGCTCAATTGAAATCGTTCATGTTGTGTAAGCTGATGTCCTGGCTACTGGTAACGCGTCGCTCTTCCCCGTTACCGTTAGCCAGGGCGTCACCCGTGGAAGTCTGGCTGACACCGTTGGTCGGCTGCCAATCGGGTTCACCATTCCCATCCGATGGAATAACGTTGCCATGTTGGTCAACCTCCTATTGTCATTTGTGTTAGTCACAGTGGGTCTTCTCGAGTGATCATCTCAGATTTTCAACTTACGACACCTTTGGCAGCCATGCGCACCTGCTGGGGATTGGCTGTGCCATGTACGACAGCTTCGCGTGCCTTCTCCATGACCTTCTGTTTGCGGCTTTCCCCACGTATTCTCTCCAGATGCTCGAAGTAGCCAGCGTCAACCGGAGTAACGTATTTCCCGCAGAAGACACCAACTTCGAACTTTTGGTTCGCAGGATCCCGAGGGGAAAGGCGTGCGCAAGCACTCTGTAGGTCCTCGAGGTTCTGGTAAACGACATCATCAGCACCGATGTGCTTAGCAATCGCTGCTGAGTCGCGGTGGTGAGCAATAAGCTCCGAGGACGAGGCAAGATCGATACCATAGATATGGGCGTTGGTGATAGGTGGCGCACAAGAGGTAAAGTATACCTTCTTAGCACCCGCTTCCCTCGCCATCAGAACGATCTCGCGCGAGGTAGTACCCCTGACAATAGAGTCATCTACTAGCAACACATTCTTGCCTTCGAACTTCTTCTTCATAGGATTCAGCTTCGCTCGGACACCCTTCTGTCGCAGTTGTTGTGATGGCATAATGAATGTGCGGAAGATGTAACGGTTCTTCACGAACCCTTGTACGTATGGTTTTTCAAGAGCTTCAGCAACGCACAGGGCAGAAGTGATGGAAGTCTCGGGGATTGGCATAACCACGTCAATCTCGGCCATGGTCTCGGGTCCCAACTGCTTCTTGATAGTCTCTGCAAGGGTGAAGCCCATGTTGCGTCGACTCTCGTCGACGTCGATACCATCGATAACTGAGTCCGGACGGGCGAAGTAAACGTACTCGAAGATATCCGGGGTGTATGCTTCTTGTTTGGCGACTTGCCTGAAGACAGGCTCCTTGCCCTTCTCGATGATGACGGCTTGGCCGGGAAGGATATCAAAGAAGTCTTTGTAGCCACACTGAACCAGCGCTACGCTCTCGGATGCCATCATGTAATCCATGCTCTTGCCGTCTTGCGACTTGCGAGAACCTAGTACCATGGGGCGGATACCGTACGGGTCGCGGAAACCGATGAGACCGAAACCTGGGACGATGGTCAGTACCTATACAGTCACGATGTTGGGCATCTCGTTGACGTACCAGCAAGCATGGCAGTGCAGGCCCATCCACCGGTACACAACTTGTACATCCTCTCCAACGCCTTGAAGCAATCATCGGCGTTGATACGCGCCTTGCCAGTCTCGTTGAGCTCATCGGCGAAGATGTTGAGCATGAGCTCGCTGTCACTCTCGGTGTTGATGTGCCTGTGAGCCTCGTGGTCCAGTCGCTGGCGCAGCGCGGGGGCGTTGATGAGGTTGCCGTTGTGGGTCATGCAGATACCGTAGGGGCTGTTAACGTAGAAGGGCTGAGCTTCAGCGTTCGCGCTGCTACCGGCAGTGGGGTATCGCAGGTGGCCGAGGCCCATGAAGCCGGGAAGGTCGGACACGCGGGCGCCGTCTTGGAAGACCTTGGAGGCCATGCCATTGCCCTTGCACTGGTGGAAGCGACCACCAGCACTGCAACTGACTATTCCGGCAGCATCCTGGCCGCGATGTTGGAGAAGGTAGAGGGCGTCATGCACCTCGACCGAAGCCGATTGCGACTTTGGGTCGCCGTGGATCACAGCAATAATACCGCACATGTCGACGTGATGGTGGGGTATGAGGGGTTTGAGAGCAGAAACTAAGGTTTATATGCTAACAAGACGCGTCAGTTTACGGTAACAATTCGGAAGACGCGGAATGTTTGTAAGTGGGGGGTGGTCTCTCAGGAAGTCGTTGTGCGCTCATTGGGAATCGCAAGTCTAACATCTTTGTAATATGACAAGATCATCATAGGGACGGTGGGTAGGCAAAAGACAAACGGGAATAACGTACCCTGAAGTTTTTCGCACGTCTCACCAAAGAGGGGATATGGTAAGAGAAGAAGAGTTGATAGTATGGCCGTTGGGCTCAGGTGTAGCAGCAGTCCATCTACTCTGGCGGTGATGTGCTCAATGTGGGCGTCGTCGTCTTCGTAACGTCGTCGCGGGATTGTTGTCCCAGCTGGTGATGGCGTTCGGGCTCATGGTTATTGGAAGTAGGAGCTCTCTAGTGGGGAAGGGGCAGCATGATAAACAATTTTTTTCCTCGCCGCACCTGCACTCCCGCTCTTTGGGGCTTGGCGCCGTTCCCAAGCCGATGCCGCAACTCCACATCGTGCTACTTCCCTCTGGTACAACCAAACCCATCGTCGGAAGGCGAAACCCTCTCGGCGTCTACGCTCGCAGCCAAATGTTATGACAAGCAGACTTTGTTATTGATAGTGGTACCTGTATACTGCTTCCTTGATTTCCACGACTCGAGCCATGGTCTTTTCTATGCTCCCTAGATTTCCTACCTGTTACGCGACATCGCGAACAAGCCAAGGTTAACAGCATGACCAACAATACCTACCTTGGTTACTGACGCCTCGTCCTGGTTTGGTAACCCTTTTGCGCACCAAATCTCGCCACAATCTCACCAGCAGCCATCACGTGAAAGCTACCATCAGTAACATACCTGATGCAGAAAGACGCCCATCAGCACTTGGTCAAATACCAACCGCCCATATGAAGATCAGAACCGAAATGATGATAGAGATGAGAGCGAAGACAGCGCTGCGCCTGAATCGTTGCCAACGCCGCGCATTAGCCATTGTCTTCCCACCATGACGGCAACGTCCGAACATCTCGAAGCTTTTGCGCTCTTGACCTGGGCTACACCGTACCTCACTTCCCCGAACTGGATTGCTTGCGACCACCAGCGAGGCACCGAAAAAGGTGAAGATACGGATCGATTTTGCCGCGACACGATGCGCGCGAATAATGGCGTCCGATACTGGCTAGAGCTCTACGAGAAACCTGCGCCTGGCGCCAAAGTCACAAAATCCATATCTCTGATCAAATATGGTACCGGCTTGAATGGCTTTCCAGGCATCTGTCATGGTGGCGCGCTATTGACGCTCATGGATGAAGCAATGCTGCACATCCTTGTCACCAATACAGTGCTTGAAAACGGCCTTGGCTTTATGAAAGTTGAGGAAGACTATTGGAGGCTACAGCTCCATGATGGAAAGTCGGCACAAGAGGTGCTCATGGGCCGATTAGCGACGGCAACAATGGACGTGAAACTCCTGGCGCCGGTGCTTTGCCCAGGTGTTGTCGGCATTGAGACGGAGGTACTTGAAGACAGAGTCACCAAGATGAGGACGAAAGCTACGATGAGGGATCGACAGGGCAAGCCGTTACTCAAAGTGGAAGGACTGTGGGTCAAGATTCACGGTGCAGCAAAACTATAACTGCGGGCAGCAATCTTGTACCAAATGTACCACGGGAATCAGACACACTTTTACGATAGTCCTCTACGCTCTTGTTTTTCCTCAAACAGACTCGAGTAACTTGCCACCAAACGTCTATCCTCATCACACGTGCGCAGGGATCCCGGTTGATTTCGCATTGATCTCGGACATACTAACCAACACGAGACCTTTAATCTATTGGTCCTTCCTGCAACGGCAAACCTCCGGGACCAGTACCTGTAGTAATGTGTGCACTGTGCAGCATGTAAACACACATGCTACCCCTCTGACCTACCATTCGCCATGACGTCTGAGGTAACCTAACCCATCTAGCACCACACCGGCGAGTCACTGCATCAGACATCAAGGTCTTTGTATACTTAAGAGCAAAGGTGTATTGACATGAAGATTACACCATCAAGTTGACGAGTTCTCATCACAAGTCAAGATGTATGTATCCTTCCTGACGTCTGTTTGTGCTCTCTCCACGCTACTTCCTCTAGCCATCGCCCAAACCTCTGGGACGTTCAATACTCTTACGTTCAATGTCGCTGGCCTACCTGCCTTTCTAAACGGCAACGATGTTCCTGGAGATAAGGAGACCAACACCGCCCGCATCGGCCAGCTGTTCTCTAAATATGACATCTCTGTCATCAACGTTCAAGAGGACTTCAACTACCATGCTACGCTCTACGCCAATGATGACCATCCTTATAGAACAGCTACAAGCGGGGGAGTGCCCTTTGGTAGCGGCTTGAACACTCTGAGCAATTATCCTTTTACAGGCTTTCAGAGAGTCAAGTGGAACACATGCAGTACTTTTGAGTAAGTCAAGTCTGCACAAACGCGGATGACAGATTAGCATCAGTATGATACTAACGAGTACCCCTCGAACAGTAGTGCAGACTGTCTCACACCAAAAGGCTTCACTTTCATGCGCGTTAAGCTGGCTGAAGGCGCAGTGGTGGACATGTACAACCTACACGCCGATGCTGGGTAAGTCATCTTTACTCTTCCATAACTTTGAACCACCCACTCATCGTTTCATCAGTACCACTGCCGCGGACAATACGGCCCGCGCGGCGAACCTCCGCCAGGTATCCGACTACATCAAAACCAACTCAGTCGGCAATGCAGTGGTCGTCTTCGGCGACTCAAACTCGCGATACACGCGCACCGACGACATTCCTGACGTGTTCAAGACCGAGAATGGTATGACAGATGTTTGGCTGCAGCTTGTCCGCAACGGTGTTGCGCCCGCGAAAGGTGCTGATGCTCTGCTCTGCTCGAACCCGTCCACTACCAACACATGCGAAATCGTCGACAAAACCTGGTACCGTGGATCTTCTGCGTTGATACTTACGGCAAAGACCTTCGACTATGCAGGTCACATGTTTCTCCAAGAGAACGGCGACCTGCTTAGTGACCATAACGGTGTGCTCGTGGACTTTTCCTGGAGTCTGGTCAACAGCGTCGCAGTCTCCGATGTCTTTGGCGGCGAAGAAGGTACGTGGTACAATGATCTGAGCACCGTCGCCGGTCTTGCCGGCCCAAAAGTTTCTTCAATTACGCTTCGTGGTGCGGAGCGCGTGGATGCAGTTTCCATGACTCTGGCTTCTGGACAGACGCTTTCGCATGGTGGGACTGGTGGCACAGCGACTACTTTGACTTTGGCTACTGGAGAGACGCTTACTTCTGCGCAGCTGTGTCAGGGTCAGAAGGACGGTAAGACCAGAATCTTCTATGCGCAGTTTACTACTAGCGCTGGGAAGACGATATCTGCTGGTGTCAAGACCAGCGACTGTGTGACGCGAACCGCCGATACTGGCCTCAGCATTGTCGGTTTCCTTGGTCGTTCAGGCGGCGAAGTCGACCAGTTAGGTTTCATCTACTCCAAAGCTTAGTGGTGATGGGTTTCAAGTAGCTTCGCAAGTCAAATCGATGGAATTCCTCATTACGTAATAATGTCCATTAACCTGGTCCCGTATCGTACATGATCATGAAATCCGTCTTCCACCTTCCAGAACGATGTGAATACAAAACAATAAAGAAGAAAGAAACAAAAGAGTATATCGTCTTGAGCCCCCATTCCAATGAAACGAAACATAACACTGTTCATCCATGGCGATACTTTTCCAAGACGCCAAAAGAGCTCAGCTCCTTGGCCTGCTTTATCCTAGAGACGCGAAGCTCTAAGTGTAAATCCAATACTGTGCTTCATAATCCACAGTAACCACCTCTCCGGGAGCCGAACCAGCACAAGACGCTGGGGCCATGCCGCCGACGGTGTTAAGACGGTACACCATCTTGACATCGCTGCTCGAGCCGGTTTGTGCCTCAAGCCTCAACCATTTCACATTCTTGGTCGCGTCATCAGGCGCGGGTACATCATTAATCTTCTTGGCCACAGTGTTACCGAGGCCGAGAATATCGAAATCAGGCGTTGTGTTGTCGAGGAAAAAGTGCGCGCCGATGGATGCGGTCTCTTCGATGGAACCTAGAGAGGCGGTGCCAGCGGTAGGATTGGAGGAGATTTCGCAGGAGGCATTGAAGAGTTGGGCTACTGCACCAATAGACGAAGGAATGGCCGTTGCGTTGCTGCAGGTGTAATTCTGTGTGCCTTGGCCAAGGGCAACGAGGACAAGAGACATGTCGGCTGTTGGTGGTGGCAAGCTGGAAGGGGGTTGCTGGACGCCACTGAGGTCACAAAGGGGAGTTGTGGATTCCGCGGGCTCGTCAGGAGTGGTTGTGTCGGCAGTGCCATTGTCACAGTTCTGACGAGGATAGAACGATGGACGGCGAGATGGTGCTGACATAGCGAAGGGAATGAGCGCGATGGCTGTGAAGAAGATGGAAGTACGCATAGTGATGGCTGTTGACAACGAATGCTTTTGAGAGTTGATAGACTTTTGTGTACCGTGAACCTGTGGATAAGAAAGAAGATGTTGAGTCCCAAAGTTAATGCGAACACGAACGAATGTAGAGCTACCAGAGCCCGAGGAAAAGAGTGAAGAATGAGAAAAGAGGGTCTCTTGATATTAGCGGAACGACTGTGCTGGCTATGGTCCGATTAGAACGAAGAAGTCTAGACATATATATACAGTCTCTGTCTCTCTTTTTTCGGACCTACTCTGATAATTTTTACATGGATTTAGATTGCGAATGCAAGTGACCAGGTGTTCCAACGTTTGACATGTTCCTTAGGTCAATGTTGGTGTTTCGGCAGGATTGGGATACGTTGGGTCATGGATTAACGGTTGTAGTTGCCGTGCTGTTAGGCGGGAAGTCTCGCGTAAAGAGATGTGTCGCGAGTCAGGGTGGTTGACGGACAGTTGAAACGATCAATCCAGCCTTGCGGTAAAAGAGCGGTTGCAGCGTTCGCACAGACAGGCAACCCGTAGATCCATCTGCGCTTGCCAAGCTGTTAAACATCCTGGAGATCTAGTGACTCAATCAACGGTAGATGAGGTGGAGGAGGTTGTGACATGTTACAAGATCCGTGGTACTACGTGCCACGATCCTCCGTCGTCAAGCCTCAGGCAAGAGAAACGCTAGCTCCGTTGCGACGCGCCTGAAAAGAGCCGCAATCTCACCCTGACACTGCGGCCTGGATACAGGAGCATCTGATCAAGGAAAGGTAGGTAACGATGCTGAAACGGTATACAGGTACCTGCAGGACCTGCCACAAAGCCTGAAACGTGGGGAGGAGTCGGCGGGCCGAAGTGGGTAAGAAACATACAGTTCGTCTGCCATCACGCTGAAACAGTCGTGACCGTTGCCCAACCACGCCGCAGTCATCAAGCAGAACCACAGTGCTTTTCCCAAATGTTGGTATTCACGTGTGCCGCTCGTCACCTGCAGGCAGGATGTCATCGCCCGTTTCCCCAGACAACGAACGTAAGAGAAACCCCAGACCGGTGTAGAAGGGAGGAGTTGTCCCGCATTAGTGCAAGACCATCAGGATGTCAACCTGCATGTCCGGGTTCGAGACCGTGCGACAGCCTCTTCCTAGATTTCTAAGGGTTTGTCGGCACTTGTGGCAAAATGCGGAGTGACGCGAACGATATTCGTCCGAGTCGTACATGACGATCGTGGCAGAACTCGAAAAAACGGTAAATTGCAATGTAAGATCTATCGGCGTTGCTGGGGATTCGGAGAGTCGCGTCGTCATGGTCCGAATCATAATACGACGGGCGTATCGTCGGCCCTGAGTTCGTCGCAATCGGATCGAGCTAGCGCTTTGCTCTTTCCGTAGCTCCGCCTCAGCCTACACGTGTGTGCACTACGCAACGCCTTTGTGTAATTACTGTGTAGAAATACGCTGCCTCAGTTCAACTGACATGATATTCTAATCATCCCCGAGGCAATCATGGAGCGAAGAGTCAGTCTCAAAGATCTTATCCGGAATGCTGGCGTCATACCCGTTGACCAGCGCCAAGCAGTTCTACCGGCCCCAACACAGCCGGCGGTATCAGTCAGTGAGGAGGACATCTCCCAGGCCCGGAACATTCTACTTGACCGAAGAGCTAAGAACCCAGAAAGCAAGAATGTGCTGAAAAGCATCTTCAAGAGCTCGAAAGAGAAGGACAAAGGACAAGATGCAGGGCAGTTCTCGCAAGAGGAGCTCGACCAAGCTTTATCCGCCGTCATTCGCAGTCCAACGACAGGACCCGGGCTGATCCAAGCTTTCCTCACTCTAGGCGCCAAAGTCAATATCATCGAGACAACTGACAAGAAGAGAAGATCAAGCAACCAGGCCAACACAGCATTGCGACGCCGTAGCACGGTCTTACAGCAGGCAGCGAGTCTGAGGAAGGCTGATGGTGTCAACATCCTCGCTAGCTCTGGCGCGGACCAACAAACTTTAGACGAAGGACTGAAAGCTGCTCTCACTGCCAACGATCAAGAGAGCATAGGTCTGCTACTACGTCATGGAGCGGACCTGAACAATTTCCCCAACGCGCTAGCGAATGCGGTGCGATCAAATGACCTGAACTTCGTCAAGCTCTTGTTGAGAGCACCGAAGCCACTTCGTCCTCAGATCATTTCATCATGCCTGCCCGCTGCAGTTCAGCAAAGTTCAGATGCCATCATATCTTTACTGATTGCATATGGTGCTGATCCGAATTTCGACTCAGCAAGCGCTCTGAATATGGCTATTGGGAGACAAGCCTACAAAATAGCTATTGCTTTGGTTGCCGGACCGATACCACTAAACGAGCCAAATCTCCAGCATGCGCTGGATACTACCATGCGGCTGCCCACACGCCAGGCAACGCTACAGTTCTTGCAACTCTTGTTCTGCTGTGGACTTCCCCCTGACAGTCGTGGTCTACCAGACTTTCTTATCTTTTTGGCGAGAAGTAACGACTCTTCTGGTGCGAAGATGATGGTCAGCTATGGCGTACCGACCACAACTAATGACGCTGAGTGTCTAAGAGAGGCCATAGAGAACTCGAACTGGGGCCTGGTGGACGTTATCCTCCAGACACCTATCGCTCCTCAGCATGCGACAGTAGCACTTTCTGTTTTGCCAACAAATACCCCGCAGTCGGATAGACTTCGCGTAGTTGACGCCTTGCTAAAGAAAGGCGCAACGGGTCCCGCCCTCAGCCCGTTACTCACACAAGCTACTAAGGAGAGAGACGCTCAGTTGATAGATCTCCTCCTTAGTGCAGGAGCGCCAGTCGATGTGAGCGACAACAGTGCCCTTCATTTTGCAGTGGTCAACAGAGATATTCGGAGTCTTCGATCCCTTCTCAACGCTCGTCCTCCGCCAGAAAGCCTGGCTAATCTATTTCCCCTTCTTTTCCGTACCGACGCAATCTCGATATCTGAGCGGCGTGAGATCGCAAGACTGTTACTCGAGCATGGTGCACGGGGTCCCGGCGTTGATCAGGCTCTAATCGATGCAATTGCAGACACTTCGGCTGGACGGGATGGAGCTCTGATAACAGACTTGGTTCGAGGAGGGGCAAATGTTGATAAAAGGGCTTTGTCGTTGGCCGTTACACAAGTCGACATGTCTCTTCTGCGGTTGCTCTGCAATACCAGGCCCAATTCTTCGTCGACTTCGGCAGCCCTACCTCTGGCTTTTGACTCACAGTCCAGCCGACACTCGAAGACACTCGAGGTTATAGATTTGCTCCTTAGTCACGGTGTTGAAGAGGAGCCAGCAGGTCAAGCCTTGCAAATTGCCATCAACGGCGGCCCCGACAATATTGACATCATCGAAAGACTCCTTACTGCAAGCCCTAGGCTACTGAGCACTGCTTTCAAGTACACTTCAGCGCTTCAAGATCCGCAGAAGAAAGCACCGATACTCAGTGCTCTTTTGAAGTTGGGAGTACCGCAGGACTCACTCGACCAGGCTCTTGTCACGGAGACACGACAAGCCATCACCACAAACGACACTACCAGTACTAGGTTGCTGTTAGGACACGGAGCATCTGTGAGTCATAACGATGGCGAGGCGTTGAGTGTTGCGGTAGCTTCAGGAAACAGCTCGCTAATGGTATTGTTACTCAGTGGACATCACCAACCATCACGATCTAGCGTCACGCGATCCTTCCGTACGTTATTCTCCAACGACAAATTATCACTAGACGGGAGCAAGGAGAACATTGGTGAAATGGCAAAAGAACTATTGGTTCATGGCGTAGAACAATCTGCCATCGACGCTGCTCTACGATCGGTTCTTGGAAGCGACTACGACAGTAAGTACACGGACTCATGGGTAGATCTGTTACTCCAAAATCATGCCGATGTCAATACGGTAGAAGGTTCATGCTTCATCTTCGCAGCACAAAAGCACAGTCACACCATCTTTGACAAGCTCATGCATCACAACCCCAATTTCAACATAGTTGTCCCAGCCTTGTTGAGTTCCAAGCTTCAAGACGAA